ATACAGGAAAAAGCTTTTTCCCCCACTAAGGCACAGATTGGGTTATGTGTTTCCTGTCACCCACAGAATAAAGTAAAGTCCAAACTTCTTAACATATAGTCTCAGTATAGATTCTGTGAATAGTCCTTTTGTTAAAACCTCTCCCAAGTTATCTACTTTTACTCTGTATTCCATGCTGAGACCCTGACTGGTCTTATCTTCTGCATCTCGGTTCTAGATAGCTTCTTTTTCCTTGTGTCAGTCTGCTCTCATCATTGCTACCTTGTCCTCAGTACTGGAGACTCACTTTGCCCTTTGATTTCTAGATGGGTTTCATGCATGGGAAGCCCTGGAAGAAGAGGGGAGTGTGTTTTTTCTCCTGGCATTCTCTTGCCAAATCCTGTCATGTTGGCTCTCCCAGAGATCATAGCTCTCTGAACCTTTTAGGCCTTTGAGTGGTTGACGCTTCAGGAGGTTGTATTAATACAATCTCTTAACTTTACCCACACCCTCCATACCTTGTATATAGTCCCTTAGTAAGCTCTTCTTAAGTTCCCCAGTTTGAGGGTACTGTTTACTGGTGACTGCTACATTGTTACAGTCATCTAAGCTTTAGTTCTGTTTGAACTTACAGCTGTGTTATTTTCCAGTAGCACTCTCTCTCTTATTAAAAAAATTTTGGTGAGGTCTTTTTCATTCCTTCCCTTTTTTTATTTTTCTGTGTTTTTTTTTTAACTGGATTAAAAAAAAAATATTTTCTTCACTGCACATGGCATGTGGGACCTTATTAGTTCCCCAACCAGGGATCAAACACACACCTCAAGTGTAGTCTTAATCACTGGACCATCAGGGAAGTTCCTCCTTCCCTTTTTTAGTCTTTTTTTCCCCCTTTCCTGGCACCATGACTGCCATGTAACAGGAATTGAAGTGTCTGAGTGAATAAAGTGAGATCTTCAAGAGGATGGACACTTGAATGTCCCTGTGGTATAGCATAATTTATTTAGATGTCTGAAACTAAGAAAATAGGTGAAGGTAGTGGGTGCTGAAGTCAGTATAGTCACTTTAATAACATCTAGATTTATATTTCATTCTTTTCAAAAAGTAAACTTAGAACTTGTTTTTCTTTACCTTTGCTTCAACATACTAGAAATTAACTTTAATTCTCTTTAAAGTGCATTTTAGATTTATTCCATTGGATTTTTTTGTAACAACGTGTCTTTAAGAAAATATGTACTGTATATAAAATGGGAGATATTTCAGTTATTACTTAATTGTAGGAGAATGTAGGTATTCATTTATCTGTCTTCCTCAATATAGCTTAGAAGAGATGCACTAATAGCAGACATACAGTAGCTAACAAATGTGTTTATTAGCAGGATTGAGCTTTTATAAAGTGACTTCTCTTAAGAGAATTTTAATTAAGAAAAAATATTCTAAAGTTATGATTAGGGTCAAATATTGTTTCTATAGTCTTTATATATTAAGGAAAGAGTATGTGTCCTCTGAAACAGTTTATTTTGAAAAGAATTTTCCTATAACACTAACTTTGATACAGAACTCTATTACTACCCTAAAACATTACCATTGAAATTAATTTCTATGTAGATAGAAATATTTCATTGCTTTTTAGAGTAGAGTACTTTAGGGGGATGGCTATCCTTCTGTGTGTATGTGTGTGTCTTAGTCTGCTTGGGCTGCCATAACAAATTACCATAAACTCAGTGGCTTAACAACAGAGATTTTTCTTCTCAGAGTTCTAAAGGTTGGGATCCTGAGATCAGAGTGCAAGCATGGTCAGAGCTCTCTTCCTGGCTTGCAGACGGCCACTTTCTTGTATCCTCACCCAGCCTTTCTTTAAATGTGTGCATGTGGAAAGAGATCTCTCTCTTCCTTTTTTTTATAAGGCTACCAGTCTTAATGGATTAGGACCCTATCTTTATGACCTCATTTAATTAAATTACCTCCTAAAAGTCCTATCTCCAGTTATAGTAAAATTCGGGGTTAGAACTTCTACATAAGAATTTGGCGGGGAGCAGACACACTTCAGTTCATTGGAGTGTGCATGCATATGTGTGTTTATATATATAAATCATATGAGCAGTAGAGGAAATCATTGTGATACATTTAAACTTGAAGAAAGAGATTCATACTTAGACAATGACAACCCAATATTGAAGCTCATTATTGAATTTTCTTCATAAAGATACTGTTGTGTTAATGGGGGTGGTGTAAGATACTCTCACAGAGTTAAATATGATGATCTTTTTCCTCAGACCTCATTGTCTTTACTCAGTTCTCATCCTCGATGTCTTAGCTTTGAATCCTACATTTACCTAGATCTAGACTTGATACTCTAAGCTACTTTCATTGGCTTTTGTATAACAGCATTGTCTGATTTCTCTTTTCATTCTTGTGCTTAAAGAATGGCCAGTATATTCTGCTGAATGAGACAGACAACAGCCCCTGCCCTCTAGAGCGTGAAATCATCTTTTCTTCCTCTCTCTCCTGCAGTTTCTTTTCATGATTTCACTGTGAATATCAGTCCCTACCTGATTTTTTTTTTTTTAATCTCTGTTAGTCTTGACTTTAGGCTTTCTGAGAGCTGTTTCATTCTCCTGGCTTAAGTTACCACCTCTAATGCTAACAATTTGCAAAGCTCTCTCTACTTCTGATCTTCATCCTGTGTTATGTTCCTTTAACCATTCAGTAAATTTTTATTAAAATCCGTCTGTATGCCTGGTCAGAGGATACAAGAGTGATATAGTCTTTGCTCTCAAGTTGTTGACAGAATGCAAAAAGTAATTTAAAATACTATGTAATGTATGTGTGTCCTCGGTGCCATGGGACAGAGAAGTAGGGAGTGCCTGGCTTGGACTTGAAGGGGAAATGAGAGGGCAGGTATCCCCACCAGAAGGTTGAACATATACGTAGGTACCTAAAGTTTTGAAAAAATAGTATGTTCCGTCAACAACAAATGGTTCAGTTGATCAGAGCCTTAAGGGCTAGATGAGGCTGATCATTTAAGAAAGTGTCAGATCACCTCAAAGGCAATATTTTCAGTACTCAACTAATTTTCTTTCATCATAAACCAGCTCCCCATCCCGACTTCACATTTTTGTCAATGGGACTGTCATTCTCCTTACTTCTGAAGCCTGAAGTATCATCTTTAGTTCTGCCTCAACAATTGTGATGAGTCCTCAAGTCAAGTCATTTTGATATTCAAAATACTCTTTCATGCATCTTTTTCTATTTTCACTGTCAACACACTGCTTATCATTTAATTAGTAGATTATTTCATAGCTGTATTATTGCTCCCTTTTCTAATTTTTTAAGTTAATTTTTAAAACCCCTTATTTTACCCTGTTACTAACCCTGTACAAAAGAGGACAGTGATATTTTATTTCCTACAGGACAAATCCTTTTTTAGGCCAGTATTTTAAAAGCATGATTCTTTTTTTAACCTCCCAAATCTCAAGCTGTCTTCCTCCCATGAAAAAGCACACAGTTGCAGAATTATGAGTAATCTGCATAAATGAAGATTTTGTTTCATTAGCATTGAGACTTTATTATGAACACAGCATATATTTTATATTGAACAAACTTTTTCAAAGGATAGTTCCCCTTCACTCAAATCATCTTCCTTATCAGAATTCTGTTAATTCAGCCAGTCACTGGCCTCCATGGGAGGCACTATATATATACTGACTCTAGGAACAGACAGCCTGTGCTGTAATCTTGGTTCTGATACTTAGTAGTTCCAGCAAGTTCCCCCATTTCTTAAAGCCTCATAATAATTTTATGTGAAAAAAGGGGGAAGTGAAATGATCTACTTCACAGGGCTGAGTAAGGATCAAGTTAATCTTTAGAGCCTGGTGCCTGGCATGTGTGAGCACGCAGTACACATTTGCTATGAAGTATTATGTGCCTTGAAAACTTTCTGGTTCTCTGTGCTCTTGTTGGTGTGATGTCATGCTGCCCTTGCACCCTTCTACCACCAAGTGCTCTCCTTGAGCCCCTTCCTGTTGCCTGTGATTTACCTGCTGTTTTAAGTTCAACTTAGTTGCTTGTTCTTTAATAGTCTTTTCTGACTACTCCAGTTCACGTTGACCTCTGAATTCCTATAGGGCCTTTTATACCATTTTAGAAATTAGTCATTTTTTTTTTATGGTATTCCTTTTAAAATTTACATACAGTAAAATTTACTTTTTTGGGTACAGTTCTATGAGTTTCGACAAATGTTTAGAGTAGTGGAATTACCATCACAACCAAGATATAAAACAATTTCATCATCCCTCAAAAATCTGTCTTAGTGTTATTAGTTTCAAAACTGTTTCCTGAGTATGCATTCTGTTTCCACGTGTACAATTTAGGTTCTTGAACTGAGTGCGTTTTACACTATTGTGGCCTCTATTATGGCATAGCCTAGTATCAAGGATATAGTAAATAGATGCTTAAATGTTTAAACTGTACACAACAAAGCCTAAAAGTGTGATAAATTCAAACATACTAAGAAGCTACTGATTTTATTTAACTTCTCTTTGGCCTTTTATTTTATTTGGGTGAAAAGTTTCAAATGAACATTATTCCTATATAACTTGTTAAAGTGATTTTGGAGTCCTGCCAGGGCTAATAAAAACCATATTTAATTTCTTTTTGGATAATAAAGGGCTTGTTTCTGTCCTTACGGTTTCTATTTTTTCTAACCCTGTTAATTTAAATTTTAATATGAAACAAAATTTTGTATCTTTTCTCTCGTCCTTGGGGGTTTCTTTTATTGATTGTCCCTAAAATCAGAGGTCAACGCAAATAAAAGAATTTAAACTTGATAAAGGTGAGGCTGATATGGACAAGCTAATGCTGCATGGTTGCCTCCTTCCTGAGTCTTTGATATAATGGAATAGTGATCCTTTTTCAGAAACGGCAAAAAATAGTTAAAATTTACATCCCATTCAGTAGACTTTACTTCCTAATGAAGTGAATTGAATTTAACCACGTGTATCTTTTTTTCCCTTCCCTAACAGCTTCCATGCCTATGGCTGTTCTAAATTTGGGCCAAATAGATCCATTTCAGAGAGGCTTTTTCTGTAAAGACAACAGCATCCAGTATCCGTACCATGACGGTACCATCACAACCACTGTCCTCAGCACAGTGGGACTTGGTTTACCCATTTCCTCTGTAAGTAAATTAATAAGTAGGTAGTGATGGGTTTGTTGTGCTGGAGACTGTATGAAGTGATTGAGTTGGGGTGGGGGTAAATTCATAGTATTGTCTTCGCCAGTGTTGATATGGTGAGTGAGTGCTTGAAGAATATACCCACTGCTTCAGTCCAGGGCAGTGTTTCTCCGGTTAAAGAGAGATATTGCCCCAAACAACTTGATGCCATCATAAGGAATTATAGAATGATTATTTTAGAATGAAGAATTCATTTAAGTCATTTGAATCAACCCTTTTCAGTATACAAGTGAAGAAACTTAAACCCAGATACTTGCTCAAGCCCAGTAAGCTATTTTATGGCAGAACTGAAACTAAGATTAAGTTTGTTTTATCATATTAAATGGAAATTGAGCCCATAAAAAAGGAGAGAGATTTATTTGTTAAATTTGAGAAAACAGCTCATCAGAAAGAATGTTAATACATGTGCAAAAGCAAGTCCTCAGAATATATCAAAACCATATCACTTTTTAGAGTTGTACTATCTTTTAGAAAGTTCATCAGTTTGTAAGTTAATATTGGGTTTCATTATGTTAGACAAGTGTAAACTTTCCTTCTAGGTTAAATTTCACAGACTAGCTTAAGATTGGTACTTGAGGTATTGTGCTTACTTTCTTTATCCTTGGCTCTTATTTTTGTACCTTACCCTATGTCTCTTTATGTGAGCTAGAATTAGATGAGAAGAAGCAAAGTAAAGGTTTACCTCCTTGAGTTTCTTGAACTGTCCAGCAGAGATCATGCCATACTTCTCTTTTGATCACTGTCTCTTGTCACTTGCCTTCCCCAGGTAGTTGACTTAGAATTTTTTATTGCCTTAGCAGAGTCTGAAGTCTTGTATTTCCACAGTAGGACAGACTGGCTCCCCCCCACCCCCTATTTTCGAAGAAATATTTTCTCTATTTTTGGTATGCTAACTGCTTTCAGATTAATTTTTAAAAATCACTTTACTTTCTTTATTAATGTCTGAGGGAAAAGACAATTCAGGATAAGTTTGGGGGTTGACTTATTTTATAATCCTATATCTGTAAAATTTGAGATTTGGCAATATTTGGGAAGATGAAGGAGATCATTTACTATGGATATGTGAATTTTTTTCAAGCTCTTTGGTTTTGGCATATAGTTTGAAAAATCATATTTCTTTAGGTGACTGTCCCAAAGGAGGTAGATTAGGCCCAATTTTTACCTTTTTGAGTAGCTACTTAGATGGTAATAAAAAATTGCTATGAAGAAGAAAGAATGGATGGGTTAATATGTGTTTTTTTTAATAAACTGTAAAAATAATATATAAGTAAAGTGTTGTATAAGGGCTTCCCTGGTGGCTTAGATGGTAAAATGTCTGCCTGCAATGTGGGAGACCCAGGTTTGATCCCTGGGTCAGGAAGATCCCCTGGAGAAGGAAATAGCAGCAGCCCACTCCGGTACTTTTGCCTGTAAAAATTCCATGGACGGAGGAGCCTGGTGGGCTACAGTCTATGGGGTCGCAAGGAGTCAGACACGACTGAGCGATTTCACTTTCTTTCTTTCTTTAAAGTGCTGTATATGGCAAAAGTGACCATAAGTGCCCTGTACTATAGGAAGACAGTGGTGTTTGTTGGGTTTTATGGCATGGCAAGTCTCTTGTGCCACCTTTCCTGTACTAGTCCAAAAAGCTGGTATCAGAAGGGCCTATTTCCCACACCTGAAGAGCTCAGCTCCTTTGTTTCCATGTTGACGTAAGTACTGTGCTGCCTTTTCCTAGGTTACTCCCAGTCAGCACAAGGCAATAAGCTTTGCTAGGGTTGGAATGGTCTGTTTTGCTCCATTTGTATCCTTAGTGCCAGGCACATTGCTTGGTATGTAATGGGTGTTTAATAAATACAGATAGAAATATTTAATTCCATTAAATAGGAAATAGAATAAGATTGTCAATTATGTTTAATAATAATTACTACCATGAAAATTCAGATTAACTCTTTGGAAATACAATGTGTCTTCAAGTCATCTCTTAGCATCAGATGCCTCATTAAAATAGCTTTTCAGGAAGAGTGGGACAGTATATACTGAATATACAATCCTGATTAAAGGTATCTTAAAATATGGGGGAATGTCTATTAGAATGAAAGAAATACGGTGTTAAGGAGCTTAATTTCTTAGGTTGGAAAAAAGTTTTATTTCCTTATTTACTTATTTGGATGTGGAGCTATATTTTTTCCTACATTGTTTTGAAAAGCTCTGCTTTAATCAGTTCATGTATTCCAGCACTCTTTCTATATGTAATTGTCACAAAATGAAGTAGTATAAAATGCATTCCTAAGTAATTTGTTATAATCACAGACCTTTTCTTTGTTTAAAACAACTTTTTATACTACCTTTGGAAGAGATAATGTGTAGATTTGACATATTAAGTATTTGTTGTGTATCTATTTTACAGAACACTTAAAAATATTTTGATAAAATTTAATACATTGGATGAACCTAAAAGAAAGAGACGCTATATAAATATTGAGTATATACTGCCAATACTGAAAACTAAAGCTCAGTTAGTTTCACATTAGCCAAGCTTACCAAATTCCACTGCATTCCCAAATGCTGTGGCTTTTAAAAGGATTCATAGGGGGAAATATCTGCTCATGAAATTTGTTTTTTTTAAATAGTTTCTGCAAATGTTATGGATACCTTTGCTAAAGTTAAGTGGTCCAAGAACTGCTTCACTGAGTATAGCTCTATTAAATCAGTGGACATTATCTTCTGACTTTGCTACTGCATGTATCTTGACAAAGCTGCGGGATTTGAATGGGTTAAATATTACTCCTGGATGGGAATTCTGATTTTTGAGAATCTAAAATCTCTTTCTAGTGAATTATATGTGATAAGAGATAATTGAAATGAATGTTCATTTTGCCTCCCAGCAGGACTTAAGTCATCTTCAGTTCAGTTCAGTTGCTCAGTTGTGTCCAACTCTTTGCAACCCCAAGAACCATAGCATGCCAGGCTTCCCTGTCCATCACCAACTCCTGGAGTTCACCCAAACCCTAAACTTGCAGTCAGAGTTACACCTCTGCTACTACTACTTTTTAAAGCAGAATTGACATAATTTTTAAGTTTGTTAAATATTGAACTGGCAAAATGACCAAATATATTTTTGATGGATGCAATGAGATTAACATACAGTTATGTTAAAACATATGAAAAGGTCAAATTTATCTTTTTCATTAATTCCTTTTTATAGCATAGGCCAAATGTTTCTTTAAAAAACTAAATAAACCTTTCATCTCTGAGTACATGAAAATACTAGTCTGATAATGTCTGTGTTTTTCTGTTGTGGACCAGTGAGTTTGAAAGTAGAGTATTCATTATGACTTATTTTGGGCATATCATCTGTCATACTTTAGGTAAAAGTGAAGGCATTTGTGTTAATATTTCATACATTTATTTTCCTCTTTCATAAATACTGTTTTAAAAACTCTGGCTGGGGATGTTAACTACTCTACCTTTTTAGGTCCTTATGAATTGGTTGAACTGATGACATTTTCTTGAGAATTTTTGTAATTAAAAGCGAATTTGCAGCTTGGATTTGTCGGTGAGTTTTTAGATGACAGTGCTAAAAGTGTGGTCCATGAGAAAAAAAAAAGTTGTACTTAATTAAAATTAAAAAATTCTGCTCTGTATAAAGCTACACACTGGGGGAAAATGTTTTTAAAACACATATCTGATAATGGAACTCTTAAAGCACAACAGAAGCAAACAATCCAGTCAAAATGTGGGGAAAAGATCTCAGTAGACACTTTAATACAGAAGATATAGAAATGGCCAAGAAGCATGTAGAAGATGCCCCATATCCTATTTCTTTAAGGAGTTGTAAATTAAAACAGCAGTGAGTTACCTCTGCACATTTATCATAATGGCTAAAATCCAAAACAGTGACAATACCAAATGCTGTGAGGATGTGGAGCAGCAGTTCTCAATCATTACTAGGGGAATGTAAAGCCACGTTGAAAGACAATTTCACAGTTTTTTTACAAAACTAAACATAGTCTTACTGTAGCAGTCAAGCTCCTGCATATTTACCCAAATGAGTTGAAAACTTACATCTGTATAAAAGCCAGCACGTGATGTCTATAGTGGCTTTATTCATAATTGCCAAGGCCTGAAAGCAACTGAGAGGTCCTTTAATAGGTGAATGGATAAACTCTGGTACCTCCATACGATGGAATATTACTCAGTGCTAAAAAGAAATCAGCTATCCAGCCATAAAAAGACATGGAAGAACCTTAAATACATATTGCTAAATGAAAGAAGCCAATCTGAAAAGGCTGCCTAGTGTATGATAACAACCATATGACCTTCTGGAAAAGGCACGGTTATGGAGATAGTAAGATCAGTGGTTACTGGGAGTTGGTGGGAGAATAGAGGAAGAGTGAGTAGTTGGAGTACAGAGGACTTTTAGGGAAGGGAAACTATTCCGTATATTGTGATGATGGACGCATTACATTATGTGTTTGTTATAACCTACAGGACTATACAATACAAAGAACAACCTTTAATTGTAAATTGTGTAGTTTAGTTTATGTATCAATATTGGTTCATCATTTATAACAAATATACCATACCAATGAAAATTGTAATAGAGGACACTAAGGGTGGTAGTTGTGGAGAGGGAGTATATCTTTTACTTTTGGCTCAGTTTTTAAAATAAACCTAAAATTACTTTAAGGAATAAAGTATATTAATCTTAAAAATTTTGAAAAGAAAAAAAATTTGCTCACAGTGTTTGGTGAAATGTCAGTGCTCTTTGTCTAAATATTAGTAATGATTGCTACAAGCAATTATCCTCATAGTGAATAATTGATATGTTGTTGCTAGGAATAAGATTACTTGATAAGATATAAAATAAAATTTCAGGGCTTTGCTTCATATGTTTCATCTGTTAACTCATTTTATGGAAGTGTTTGACAATATCTAGTGAAGACTTAAATTTAGAAAAC